ATTATGAAGATGGAAAACTGTCATCTAATTACTATGTTTCATCTCTTTAAATATCGACATGTCTTGACTATAAAGTGTCAAGTACTTCACTCTCTGTTTTAAGTTTATGACAATTTAATATTTTATTTAGGAATATCCATTGCACTTGCCTTTTTTCCCTTAGCTGGAGTGTTGTTGAAATGGGTTATTATTTAGATTATTTATTTTAAAATATTGGTAAAGCTTGAAATGTTCTTGCTTTTAGAGAAATAAGAGAAATAGTATATTGTCAAAAAGTTATGTGAGGAGGCTATTATAAGAAATTATTTTATATTAATAATTTTATATCCTACCAGTTTGGTTTCTTTAGAAAACCCTGACTGATACAGAGACTAAGTATATAAAAATACAGAATTCTCTTTGCGAACAAGAAGTTTTGAATTTGCTATCAGCCTGACATTTTTTCCATGAGTAAGACGGGACTCCATTTCCTCAATTTTTATATGGTTGTTTCCTTCTCATTATTTAAGTCTTTTCTTAAATATCATCTCGTTCAATATACCCTTTCAGATTTTCTTCAAATATTCCCCCCATATGCCAGTTGCTCTTTATTCATTACTCTGTTTTATTCTCTTTTTAAGACCTAACTGAAATTCAATCAAAAGAGAAAGAAAAATACAACCATGACTATTATGCAAAGTTCTCTCTTAGTGGCCCCTCTACAGAGCCTGAAAAGTAAATATTTTCTTTTCCAGACTCCCTTGCAACTGGAAAATGTCTATGTAACCCCATTCTGTTCAATAAGGGGAAGGGTGCTGAAGATTCCTGGGAAAGATATTTAACTTTCTGTTGAAAGATAAAGGTATAAGAAAAGAACTCTCTTGATCTCAGATGAGATTCTTGAAGGTGTAACATCCATCTTAAACACTTGAAGGTGAAAATCAGAAGAACTAAAAGCTAACACACTGAGTGCAGTGGGGAAAGAGAAAAAAACCTGAGCTCTCATATTACTGTTGATCCCCTGACTGTACTTGATGCTGCTTTTTGCTGTTTTTTCTTTCTTTCTTTTTTTTTTCAGTAGACATCAATTACCATATAGTTTAAGCTGCTGTTGTTTGGGTATTCTGTTATTTGTGGCCAAAAGCAATTCTCAAAGAAATATAAAATAACCTTATTTATTCACTTATTTACTTAACTATTATTTATATTCCACTTTTTAAACTGTAAATTGTTTGAGAGTAGATACCTTATTTGTTTATTTCAATGTAGTATTCTCTGCATTTTTAACAGTGCCTGGTACATAAAAAAACATTCAGCGTATGTGTCCTAAATGAATGGATTGTAAATGAAGTAAATGAATGAACTTAATTCTTTTTTATATATTCTTAGGGCACATAAGGGGTGATCAATGGGAATGATGAAGCCAGGATATTTTAAGAACCCATATACTGAGTAAGCTGGGAACTCATCTCTTAAAAGGAAAAAGTTTAGCCTGCTTACTCTGTTAAATGATTTCTATATAATTTTGCCAGGAAGCAAGTTGTTTGTCCAGACCTATCGTTCTAAAAATTCTGATGAAAACCTGAGTTTTGACCCAGGAGCCACTATTTATAGAATTAGATATATCAGAAAACATCTTAGAATTTTTTGGATCTTAAGCACATTGATCTCAGTGATTTAATATTTGGACATCTTGTTGGAAATTCTTTGACTTTGACTAGTGCTACTTAACAGAAACGTTGTGTGAACCACATATTAATTTTATATTGTCTTGTAAGTAAAAATAGGAATTTTAATACTCTATTTTCTTTAACCCAACATCTTCAAATATTATTTATCATTTTATATTGATCGACATGTTGTCAGTATAAAAATTATTAGCGGGATATTTAACAATTTTTGGAATCAGTAATTTAATGCGTATTTGACACAATACATCTCAATTTGGTCTAGTCACATTTTAAGTCCCATGTGGCTAGTAGTTTACATATTTAGCAGCACAGATTTAGACTAAATCATTCTGCAAAACAAGCCTCATTCTCTTGATTCCTCCTGAAACGTACATGTTTAATTAAATAATTACAAAAACAATTTAATATGGTAGGCCTTGTATTACTGCAAATGTACAGGTAAGCCACCATGACACTCCTCTATACATCCTGCCAAGGAGAACATAATATCGATAAATGTATTCATGAAAAACAGGTCTTTACAAAAACCACTGAAATACTGTAAAGGAAAGAGCATAGAGTATTATAGGAGCACTCAGGCAGAACGTTAGTTAGAAGGACAGGCCTCCAAAGAGATAAAATGCCAAAGCTTAGCCTCGAGGCCTATGGAAAGTTTATCTTGATGAAAGATAAGAGATGGGGGGATTCCAAGCAGGGAATCATCAATGTGATTAAAATGAACAGCAAAAAAAGAAAGAGATTCTCACTGTCTAGCTACCCTAGGAGTTGAATGTTGAGAGGAAGGGAGAGGATGGAGAGAGGCCTCTTGTCCATGTCATGAGAGACTTCGAATATTGAACATTCAAGTCATAAAGTATTTCCCTTCCTTCCTCATCTTTGATATTACGCAAAATAGCTCTACTATTTCACAAAATAGCTCTACTATTTCACAGATTTCATTCCCACTATTCGCTTCGCTTCTTCTAATCTTGCAAATCTGGTGCTATATAAAATTTAGACCCTGACCCCTAACTGTTTTCATTTTATCTTACTGTTCTCATTTTCAGTTGTCTCTGCAATGATAACTTTTAAATGTCCATTTTCAACCTTTACCCTTTGTCTACAATATCATGTATTGGGGAAATATAATCAAAAACAAAATCTCCCAACCAAGAAAACCCCTCCACCAAGGTGAAAGAGAAAGAATCACTATTCTAACTGAATAAGCTTTAAACCAGATGTGAAACGCATCACAGGCAATCTGCTAAGAGATTCCAAAGACAAGAATAAATCTTACCCTTTGATATAGCCAGGTAGATACAACCCATTTACACATTTTCAAGAAAAACAATAACTGGTCCTCAAATAAGAGGACTTGAAATATCTTTTGTCACACATATATCATTCTAACTTTACCTGGAAATTGGGGTGACCATGTATTAGCTAATTAGCTTTATCTAGAGGAAAACAGACCTCTCAACTTCTTAAGACAGGAGAATAGTTTTCCAATTTGGATCAAGGCGGCAGGCACCTAACTCCAGGTTAGAGTCCTACCCTCCTAATAGAAACTAGGAAACAGGGGTTCTAGTTCCCTTGATGTTTGCATTTCAAAGACTTACAGGTTCAAGAGAAGAACATTCTTGGGTCAGAAAGCTGACAAAAAGGCATATCTGGTCTTCAAAAGGATTTATAGACATGTAAACAGCTGAGAAAGTGCTCACAATTACCTATTCTTTTAAGATAAATGCTCTGAGAAATATAAAAAGGCAGGGGAGTTCTCTTTGTATTTTCAAAATGACAAGTTTCTCTTATTTTTAATTTGTATTTGTCTTTATACATGTTTTCTCCATGGTATCACTATTTGGACAGTTCACCATTAACTTAAATGAAATACATTACCACATACCTAAATTATGCAATGGTGTACTAACTTCGTGTTTTGCTTACATTTCCTTTTCATTTTATTTTACTCTGTGAACTTTCTCTCCCTTAACTAATCTTTACAATCATCTAGCCATCCTTGTTCAAAACCTACTATTGGTTTTTAATAAATATAGGAAGAAGAACTATAAGAAAAAGTTAGCTTCCCTACCAAGTGAACTTGGTCTTTCTGTATATTTCACACACACTCAGCTCAAGTCCAAGACTCATTACTGATCATCAAACATATGATGCTCACTTGCGTAACTTCATGTTTTTAATTCACAGACTTTCTGTTTTCTAATTTTTCTTTCCTCTTTCCTTCTCATTACAGCATTATACATACCTATGTATGTATATAAATCGTGACATATACATACATATATAAATAATTATAGCATTTACTCTGATTTATTCTAATTAACCTGTTTAGTTTAATTTAGTTTAATCATGTTCCGTGTTCCAATATGTTGCCTGAGACATCATTCCTATTGACTCTGATACCTCTGTGTCTTACAAAGTTTTCCACAAACATCTCTTATTTTATAACATCTAGAATAAGACTAGAAAAATAAGTATTCTGCGTTTTAGTATGCTTTGTCCTTGTTAAACTAATGTGCCCTCTCACAAGCTTAATTTACCTCATGAACAGCTGAAGCTCACAAAATTAAATTTTTTTTAAAATTATATTCTTAGTTTTAGTACTTATATCAGGCAAAAAAAAAAAAAAAGCTCTTTATTAACTCTGCAAGTGGTTACTTAGACTTGGTCAACAGTTGAGACAAATTTTCTTCCTGGAAACATGAACAATTTAATCTAAAACATTGAACTTTTTAAATAATTCTTTAGAAACCCGTATAAAGAAATACTTACTATAATGCACTGACAATGTAAAATGCACTTCAGTTTATATGGAGAAACAATAATGTGTTAATATCCATGCACTTTAAGTAAAATAATGAATAAATGAATGCTGTGGCTTAAGACACATTAAAGCAGCATATATATAAAAAGCAAAGGCATGCTTTATTCATGTGTAACTGCTGACTAGTAAAGTATATGATACAAAATAAGTGTTCAATTATTTTATTTTTAAATAAATGAAATTGATTGACTTTAAGATTCAGTTTCTCATTAAAGACTTCAATCTGACAATGATCTAAACTGATCATAGTTTATCTTAATATCATAATATTTATACTTGACATTTGATATGATTCTATACTGTAGACATGCTAAAGGAATTAATGGTAAAATGGTAAAATGGTAAAATGGAGACATTCTACATATAAAAAAACACTCAATCCATGTCTATTTTAACTCTGATCATGGCAGCTGAAAGCTGTAAAGCCAAAGCTAACTAACCTTCAGTGCCAAAAGGAATAAGATGACTTGACATAGTCTATGAGTCCAACTGCTCCCAGTAGCTGTTCACAGAAGCTTCAAAAAGGCTCCTTTCTGACAGATTTGTGTGGTTATCCCTTGGGAATTAAAAATGTGCACAAATAAAGACTCATTTAAAAATTCAATTGAATAAATGTCAAAGGTCAGTCTTAGAGACACAAGAAAACAAGATAATTCATCTTTGACCTCTTTTCCATCTTCACCATCTTTTCCATTACATTTCTCTTTTCTGTCTTCTTCCTGTTTTTCATCTTCTCCTTTATCTTTTTCATTTTCATATTTTTTGTCATGTTCGCCTTTCACCTTTCTATCTTCACCCTCTTTTTCATCTCTGTTTTCTTTTTGGTATTCTTTCTCTTTTTCATCTCCCTCTTTCTTTTTTCTGTCTTCATCCTCCTTTCCATCTTCTCCTTTCTCTTCTTTCTTGTTTTGATTCTTTCCTTCTTTCTGATATTCCTTTTTATTTTTTCTTCTACTGCTGCCACTGCTTCTCTATTTTCTTCTCTCTCTTCTTCAATGGCTATTTATTCAATTATTTCTTTTATTTCCTCAGGTTCTTTTTCAGGAGCTGATGCCTCTATAATTTTGGCTTCTCCATCTTCAGCATTTTTATTGCGTTTGTGTGTGTGTGTGTGTGCGCGTGTGTGTTATTTGCATTCTAACTTTAGATAATTTCTCTTGAACCATTTTATAAATAAGTTTTTGTGGAAATCATGATTTTTTAAAATTAATTAATAATTTTTTTATGGTGACTTTGATTAATGAAATCCAATAAGTTTTATCTGTACATTTTAATGGTAAGGCATATATATATTTACACTTTGTGTTCACCTCCCGTAGTTAGATTTCTCTCTGTCACCACATATTTGACCCCTCTTAGCCCATCTACCTCCCCCCTCCTAACTCCCCCCTACCCTCTGGTAACCACTAGTCTATTGTCCATGTCCATGAGTCTCTGTTTGTTTGTCTATTTCTTTACTGATTTTATGTTGATATCCCACATATAAGTGATATCATGTAGTCTTCAACTTTTTCTGTCTGGTTTATTCCACTTAGCATGATTATCTCAAGGTCCATCCATGTTGTCACAAATGGCAGTATTTCATCTCTTCTTATGGCTGAGTAATATTCCATTGTATATATGTACCACAGCTTCTTTAGCCAATCATCTATTGTAGGACACTTTGGTTGCTTCCATATCCTAGTCACCATAAATAATGCTGCTATGAACATCGGTGTGTAAATATCTTTTTAGATATGAGTTTTCAAGTTTTGGGGGTAAATACCCAGTAGAGGGATTGCTGGATCATATAGTAGATCAATTCTTAATTTTTTGAGGAATCTTCATACTGTTTTCCATAGCGGTTATTGTTTTAATCTACCTTGCTAATCTAATTCTTTTGATTGGTGTATTTAGACCATTTCCATTTAAATCATTATTGATACGTTATCACTTAGCATAGTTATATTATGTTTTGCTCTCTATTTGTTTCTGATTCTTGTCACTTTCTCATTGTGGTTTTGATTTGCATTTCCCTAATAGTTAGTGATGTTGAGCATCTTTTCAAATATTTGTTGGCCATTTGTATGTCCTCTAGGGAGAAGTGTCTGTTCAGGTCTTCTGCCCATTTTTTTGACTGGATCACTTGCTTTTTTGTTGTTATTGAGTTGTATGAGTTCTTTGTATATTTTGGATATTAGGCCCTTATTGGAGGCATTGCTTGCAAATATATGTTCTCATTCAGATGCTTGTCTCTTTACCATGCTGACAGTTTCCTTTGCTGCGCACAAGCTTTTAGTTTGATGTAGTCCCATTCATTTAGTTTTGCTTTTACTTCCCTTGCCTTTGAGGTCAAATTCATAAAATCCTCTTTAATTCCAAGGTCCTTGAGTTTCATTCTTATGTTTTCTTCTTTGTATTTTATTGTTTCAGGTCTTAAATTGAGGTCCTTAATCCATTTTGAGTTAATTTTGATGTGTGGTGATAGACAACAGTCTAATTTCATTCTTTTGCAGCATTTTCATTGTATTTTTCTTTAACAAACTCTACTTGCTTGGTTTCAGTTATTGTTTTGGTACTTGTATCTGTGGTTTTCCCCATCATATCAGTTTATTATTATTTTCCTTGGATTTGATGTTCTTTTAGGCTTCAACACTGGCGTAACAGGCACAGGCATAGCAGGCAGTCTTGCTGATCTTCTCTTTGATGCCTGCCTCACGTCACCTTGACATGCAGCCTGTCTTTTGGGTATTGTCCCAGCACTCTACAAGACATCTTAACAGTCAGCAGAAAAAAAGCCCAAAGCAATCTCTGCTCAATCACTTGGAGAGTAAGTCAATAATTCAAATTTATTTAAGCAATTATTAGATGAGGCCTGAGGTGTGAGATATAAATGTAATCTGGATGTCCTTAAGTCCTTTTAACTTGCAGGTACAAATGATACCATATTAGCATCAAAGTTCATATTTGGGTCTCTGGCACCTCCCCTTTGAGTAACTTCAGACTCATCACTCCCACTTTCTTCTCTAAACAGTCATGAAGTCCAGAGAACATGTCCTACACTGTTTATAAACTGTGCCTATTGGCTATTAATGCTGTCACATGGAATCTGCTGGAGGTGAAAAAATCCTCTCTTCCCGAGAGTGCTTTGTTTCCTGCCATTCCTCCACATGGGAGCTAAGAGTGCTTCCCTGGCAATGGGTTGCCATAAGTGGGGTGATGTGGGATGTTAGGGGAACAGGGAATAGGGAAGCCTAACCTAGGTTTGGAGGAGGACAAGATGGCTAGGAAAAATTCCTTGGGAAATCTTCTGTCTGACATATGTCTTTAAAGACTAAAAATGAGTTAATAAGCTGAAGAGGAATGAAAGAACATTTCAGACAGAGATTCAACTTTTAAGTCCTTAAATATCACACTAAAGAACATGAGTTTTATTCTCTAACCAATGAGGAGCCATTGAAAATTTTAAATAGACAACAGAATGATTAGATCTAAGCTTTGGGGAAAAAAAAATTTTGGCAACTTAGGAGGAGATAATTTAATATGGACCTAGCCTGGAACAGAGTCACAATTTAAGATATTGTAATAATTCCATAAACTTGACTATAGCAAAGGCAGTGAAAGGGTAAAGGAGATTGATTTGAGAAAATCCGACAGACAGAATTAAGAGGGAATTATATTCTAAAGTATGAGAAGGTGAGGGTGAAGGAGAGTGAACAAGATTCAAGCTGAGGTTTCTCTCTTGACTGGGATAAAAGCAATGCCTTTATGATAGAAAACATATGAGGATTGAAACCTGTTAGAAGGTCAAAGAATAAAAATAATGCATTTGAGTATCTAATAGAAGGCCTTGGTAGACTGAGTGAAGGGAAAGGTCATGGAGGAAAAAGAAATATTGAAGAAAAGTAGCAAAACAATACTTTAAAATACTATCACATCAGTTTTCCAGGATTGGATTTTGACTAAACCATTCATATCTTAATTGATGCACTGCTTGTTATGAATAGGATTTGACTACATTTTATTTACAAATTGGAATTAAAAACAGAAAAGTTAGCATTTCTTTTATTGGCGGTTTAAAATAATGTTAATAATTTTAACAGCTTTGAAAGAGATAAGGTACCCTGGGATTTTGTATCTACTTCTGGATGTAACACTAAGTCCTCAGATTCATGTCATAAAACGAAAGCAGAGTTCTGAGCCTAGGGATCAGCAAACTTTTTCTATAAAGGGCCCCAGAGTAAATATTTTAAATTTTGTGGGCTCTATAGCAAATATTTTAGATTTGTGGGCAACCATCCAGTGCTGCCATTGAAGGCAAAAAAAAAAAAAAATCCATAGACAATATATGATTGTGTTTCAATGAAACTTTATTTAGAAAAACATGTGATAGGCTGTACATGATCCACAGGCTATGGTTTACTGACTCCTTATTTTAGCTAATAAGCTATCTTTTTTTGTCCAATTTATTTTTAGAAACAAATTTGGGTTAGAGAAGCATCATGTAAGATTATGGAGATACACAGAATTTAATTTATAGATTGTTTTTGCTTAGGGTCTTTCAAATTGATTTTAAAAATTTAAAGGACTCTAATACCTTTATTCATCTTTTAATCTCAAAATTCTCAGTTGTTGCATTTTTTTTACTATCTTACTGAAGCTTTCAGAAAGACATATTATACTAGATCATAATGAAAAATAGAATCTTCTTTAACTGAAATTATAAGTGTACCAAGAAATTAGGGTGTGATTGCACTTCTGGGAAATCATCAGCTTGTTGTTATCCTTAAGGCCAACTTGCATATGACACCAATATCTTTCTAAAGCCCATTAAGGCTCACAGGAAATTCAGAGTCACTAAAGATGAATCAAAAGGCCACAGATTCCTAGAACCATGGAGGTAAGAGTGAGACCCTACCACACAAAGTTTGTCACTTCTTTATGGCAGTTGCCTGAACTTTTCTGATATGAAAGAATGAGATCTCTATAAATCAAGGCCTAAAGATGAACTAATACTCTACAGGAAATGTTAAAGTCACAGAAAAATTGAGATGGTAGACATAGTACATATCCTTGCAGTCTGCAGACTCTTTATAAGAGAAATTTTTAGTTAGTCCTCAGTCTTCATTAAAAACATCCCTCTGAAAGTACAATTCACATCTCAAAGCAAATGCGGAGCTGAGAAAAACATTATAGATTATCTAATCCAACCAAATCATTTTACATACAAGTAAACTACCCTTGGGCCTGCTAAGAGACTTGAACAATCTCCTGGATGATTTAGTTAAGTGAAAGAGTCCTCACTAATACTCTTAATTAAATGATTGCCATTTTGAGTTTTTGACCATACATTATAATACCTGTGAATGAAGCAACACAAGAAAAGCATAAGTTTTTCTAGGTCCAATTCATGTACTTTGGTATTAAGTACTGTTCTAGATTCAGGAACACAGTAATATGTAAAATAAAGTCCTTTCCCTTAAGAATCTTATATAGACAAAAATCACCAATATGATGTTTACATGTGCCAGGCACTATTCTAGATGCATTGCATATTGTAATTCACGTAATTCTCAGCAAAACAGCTATCTATAGAGATTTTTCCAATTTGAAAGAAATTGAACCAAAGAAATAGAAAAAGTAATTCTAACATAAAATAATGTGAATTTCCCCAAGGGAATTATAGAAATGATTACATTTTCAAAAGTTGTTAGAGATCTGTGGTCCATGATTTTTTAACTCTGTAATACAGAGTTGGTGGGAACTAGAGAGTTTTGCTTTACCATTCTTCCTGTGATAATACTCAGCTTTTAAAAATATACCTTTTCCTCAACATACTCACTGGTATTCTCTAAGAAAGTTTGCAATGTTTTTAAAAGCAAAAATTATTCAAGTGTCAAAAGTACATATTTTACACATCACATTAAGTTGACATGACAAATTTTAAGAAATCTGGGAAGATGAATATTGAGGAAACTTCTTATTTTATTGCAGTAGGCTATTTTCTACCTAGAAGTAAAGAGATTGTTGAGAATATTCTGTGCCTTTTTCCCCAAATACTAAGTGATGTTTACTGACAGTCCTAAATCCATACATAGACAGTTTTCTCTCTTAAAGTACAGTTCATAATTATAATAAAGATATGACTAAGACTGTGAATAGTCCTCTAAAGTTCCAAAAGCAATGTAAATGCCAATGTTTTCTTCTATCTTTTAAAATTGGTTTGGTTTCTTCAGTAAAAAATAGACCTACTAAATAAACAGCTGTCATGCTCTTTGAGCCTGGTGCAATCTTCAGGTAAAAAAGCTGGTAAAAAACTGCCACAGGCAGAAGGTATACCTAGATTTCTTAGTAAAAATTATACTACTCTATCGTATTAAGTTTAGATGTGGGTTTTATAGATATTTTATACAGCATTCATTTAACAAATTTTAAAAAGTAAAAGGACAAATTTTAAAGTATTTGAGAAAGTACTAGAATTTCTACAATATTAATGTTGCAGTGACTAAAATATTTTTGAGAGAACTTGAGTACTGCATGAATTTTAAATGCAATAATAAATGGAGTTTTGTCAATGTAAGGTAATTAGAAATTTAACAGTAAATTCCCTTCCCCTATTCTGGATTCAGCTTTCAGACTGATAATCAGAGCAAACTATTATGCCAATATCTTTGTTTTAATAATGTCATTTTTTTTTGTAGGGTTAAATAAGCTAAAGTACATTCAAATAAAAGTTCATACAGTTCTAGAAATGAGCTTCATCAATTTGCTTATGAAACAACAGTATTATAGCCATTGAATATGAACCCTTTCCTGTATCTTTCTTTATTGCTAATTTTTATAAATCTTTGAGAATTTGTCTGTCCTAATTTTGTGAGACAAAGTTAATTCTGAAAATTAAGAGATCATAACAACATTTTACACATTTTAAATCGATTTCATATATCCCAGTGCTTTCAGAAACTGAAACTGAAAAAAGTAAGAAATATTGACTCAAGTCAGTCAGCCATTTCTGAGATTACCTACAAGTGTGCTTAGTCACATATTTCTCTTTCTGGCCATTCTGCACTCATGTGTTTGCTGTTTGCAAACACTGAAGCTCTTGGTTTTGTTTTTGGGTTTTTGTTTTTTGTGTTTTGCTACACTACTCCTCTCCTACCCTTTCCTGCTAACTAATTCAAATCTTTTCCTGTTTCTTTCACTGCCATCTCTTTCTTCCATTTCTCTACAAAATTCAATTTTGATTCTCCTTTATCTCTCCTCTCTTTCTTGGAAAATTCATGCAATTTTGTAGCTCCAACTATTTTTTTAATGAAAAAAAAAGAAAAGTATTTTACAACAAACATGGAATTCAAATCTAAAGTAGGTATATTAATCAACAACATTCCTTTACAGATGTTTTTCTAACCATCTACACTCTGCTAAGGTAGGGTTTAAGGTAATTTTTATTTATTCATAGCAGCCACCTCTGGCCACAGAAAAGTGGAAAGTTGCCTTGTTGATCTTGTCCATTGACTGTCCTCCAAAAATTCAAATTTTTTAATTTTGGGGGGTAATATTTACCTTCAGTTTTCTCCATGTCTCATCCGACATGGACATGGTTTTAGCTTTAAAATGTTGGCAAAACAGTATTTCCCTTTAATTTTCTGGATTCTTCTTTAGCTGCAATTATTTGAATAAATTATCACATCTACTTTCTTCCTCTTGCAACTGACCCTTTTCCCAGCTTTTACCTAATCACTTGGTTTATCAATCTATTGGCAAAATTACCATTGCTAAATTATTGTTGGACGATTTACAATGGCCATTATAACAGTGCATTCGCCATTGTTACAATGTCTATTGTAGTTTATTATTTCAATTGTTACCATTACAGACCTGTTTGGATGGATTTCTATGAATGCCCCTCCTATTTGGATGACTTCAAAAAACTACATATCTGAGCCTAAGTTGTTTCCTGTTTTGTGTCTATATTTTCATCAGTCTCCTAGATCTTTTATTTTCTTCTTTGGAAAAAACAGTGTGTTCTTGGCCATTTGAGTGTCTTCTTTGTGAGTTGCTTATTCGTGTTCTTTCCCCTTTGCTCATCTCTTTATTTTATGAATACCTATTATTACTCACTGGATGTTTCCTATTGCATGTTTTTAAAGCCACCATTGTCAGCTCTATCTCTCCGTGTCTAAACACAAATTTCCTTCCACAAACCAGTTGACTCCACTTACTTCTCCAATCTGTGATATATCCTTTCCTTCAGCTCAGAGCACCTTTTGCCAATATCGCTGATTTGGCAATAAATTCTCTTCTGAATCATGGCATTTCTTTACTATTATCAAACATTTATCCATTGATAATTACTTCCTGCAACTATCACATAAAATAATTATATTGACAAAAGTGTCTTGAGACTTATCAAGCACTGTGCAAAGGTATTAGACTATTATGAATATACTTTTTATAGATATTTTTATCCATCTCTGTCATGCTTCTCCAGCTAGAATATTAGAATTGTGCCCCTAAAAATGTCTAATTTAATGGCACGAAGAGGCACTTGTAAATATTTGTGATCGTATGAATAAATAATTCAACCTGTAGAGTTAGGAGAAGTAAAGACATTTTATTGTTAAGAAAATATCCCATTCAGATGGTAAAAGTATCATTTAGTTTTAAATTGTAATTGCCTTTTGTCTACTAGATGTTATTTAAATAATTAATGTCAAACAATCTTGTAATTTACAAATTAAATAAATATAAATTTTCTATGCTACCTATTTCCCTCAGAATTGTCTCTTGGATCCTTTTATTGATAAGACTTCATTTATTTCTAGTAATTTAATTAACTATATTAACCTTTAGTGGATTTGATATAGAAACACATTATATGGAATAATCCACAACAATAATTTTCATGAGTAGATGATTATAATTTTTAGAGTAGAAAGAGTCACTCAATGAAAAAAATTCTATATGGTAAATTATCAAAGAAAGTTTTCCTACAGAATTAACTTGTACTTCACCACAAGAATACATAAATTATTACTGTTTGTAAAGAAAATGGAGAAATGTTAATTAGGCTGATGATAGAATTTAGAACTCTACAGGAATTTTCTGGCCATTTCAGAATTTATGGTTAGGAAAAAATTAACAAAAAATTATGCTTTTTAAGTCCATCTATTTATTTACTCTTGGGATCTAAATGTGTTCATCCCAAACCACAGGAATTAGTGGTAAGAACTTTCCAACAATGAATTCCCTCTCTGCAATATTAGTCCATGAGCACAGGCATATTAATGACATGTACTGAATTAACTGACCTAGAGATTATGTCTCCACATTGTGGGGGAAACAGCTACTTAATTTTTCTATTATATCAACATAGAAGTCTGGTAGCGATCAAATTATTAAAGAGCAATTTTTAATTGTTAGAGTCTCTCCTGGGTCTAAAGAAGGAAGAATAGTTGACATGCATACTGCATAGTGGATAAAGAGTTAAGTAAGGATTGTGATCCTACTTGGCAAGATTTCATTCTTGACTACATGACTACGCTTTTAACTAATGATTCTCCTGGGTTGGACCAAGGTAATCTTTGAAAGAATCATGTGGAAAACTGTCCAAGAAATAGTAATACACCATCATTTGAGAGTTATTTTATAGGTTACAATCTGCTTTGACATATGTGATCACATTTGAACCACTCTGTGAATAGCTGGTATCATTATGTCCAATATAAAATTGAGGAAAGTGCGCCTTATGGAAGTGACTTTTCCAAGATCACACAGATAGTAGGTGGAAATGTCAAGATTCATAACCAGTAACTGTAAACTCCATGTTTGTTTTGATAGCAAGCTGCTTTCTAAGGTAAGTGAGTACA